CTCCCTGTGCAACAGGCCAGGAGAATGACTGTCACAGAGGGAACTGGCACTTTTCTTTCCCCAAATGAAAGACCTCCAGGAGACTTTTTGGGCCAGCTTTCCAGTGCACAATATCTCAGGGACAGGACACTACACGGATGTAGCGTAGAGCTGGGTCTCAAACTAGATCTAGGCAAAAGAACACTAGAGAAGAGAAACTTGACAACCAGCAACCAGAATATTATTAGCCAAGAAATCACAGCCTATTCAGCACAGCTTATACCAGTCAGAAGTCTAGGAATTCCATTAGAAGAACCAACATGGGTGGGAATAGTTTACTTTAACCACCGCCAGATATTCCTCATCCCAGCAAGCGGATGGGCTATGGGCAGTAGAGGAAGAATTTTGTTAGTTTTGGGGGGTTTTTTAAGCTTTCCCTGATAAAATAATATTACATGTAACAAAAAAAAAAGAGAGAAATCCTTCCCAAAGAGCAGTCCTCTGGTTTGCTGTGAAACCAGACAGACATTTCAAGCAGGATCCTGCTTGTTCTGTTCTATTTCCAGTGGGTATTTTTATCAACAACTCGGAAGTAGAGAACACTTCCAGAGTTTATGAATGACACTGCACTGGTAGGAGCTGGAATCATTCTGGAAGACCGGATCAGCCCCATAAATGCTCTCAGAATTTGGAAAGATGGCATGGAACCAACAGGATGGAATCAAAAAACAAACCAAGAGGAATTGTACTTAGGAAGAAGAGATCCAACCCAAAGTTGGAATATGTGGCTAAGCAGCAAACCACAGCATCATCTTGAGTTACAGCTGCTCAGAACATTAAAAGGAATCAACAATCTGGCTCATGACTGCTTGAAAGTCATCTTCTCAGAGGTATTCATCAGTATTTCCTATATGGGGTGTAATTATCCTGCTGTAGTCAGTGCTACGAGGCTTCAGCTGGAATAGTGCTTTTGGGCTTAGGCAGCGCTTTCAGCAAGTCACAGAAAATCAGCAGTGAGATAATCTGGGGATATAAGAGAGCAAGTGCTGCAAAATGTAGCCATGCCTTTTATAACATCAGTCAGGTAGATGTGGAACGTGTTACAACCCTATGCTAGGGCATAGAAACATGCTCAAAAAAGGACTTAGGCCAGAAAACTCTGTTATCTTTCCCTACAAGTCAGAGGCAAACAAGAAAATCACGTGTATAGGAAGAAGTCAAAGGAGTTTGGTCTTTTAAGTCTAGAAGAGGGCAAATATAATAATTTCATTGATAAGATGTCAAGATGTGAGCCCTTGTTCTCCATAACCAAGCTGCAGAGCATGGATATAAAAATGAGCTGACACTGGAGACCAGAATGATTCAATACAGAAGGAAAAGATGTCCAGAGCTGCTGTGTAATCACCTTTCCCAACTGTTACCCTTCCAGCTGTGAGCTGGATGGTCTACTTGGCCTCATTTCAGTGAGGAGCCAGCCTGGATGACACCTTCCAGTCTCCCCAGCCACAGCTATTGAGAATTCACATTGTGCTCACTGCCAGAATGCTCTGCAACTCTTGACTAAGCTGATTCCTCACACACTGCAAGTGAAGCCAGGACCTGGGACCATGAGCACACAACGTTGGCAAACACATACCCTTGCCTTCTGCTTTTCTGCTTGGAGCTGGGCATCGATCTCTTCAGGACTGGTGTACTGTCTTGCTCGGCCTTTGTGGCCTCCTTTTCTACCTGTACAGAAAAGTAAAGTCAATAAATGGTTTAGTGATAAGGTTCCACAAAGGTCTCCTCCTCCTGCAGCACTCTGTGGATTTTCAGTGCAGATGGGACAAACCAAACCAGCTCCTTTGACAGAATCTCAACAACAACAAAAGCCAAGAGTTTTGGGTAAGTGGCACAGAGAATTGGGATTACTGGTCCATACAAAGGCACCCAGAGAATCAATTCCTTCAGTGGCTCAGTCCCACAGCCACTCCCTGCGTTTCCTGCACAGGACGAACCACAGCCTATTCCTGAGGCAGCATGGTTACAACTAACCCTCCAACCAGCTTCCCTCCTTAACCCCTCCCCTACAGTAAGGCTGTGCCAAGAAAAAATAGGAAGCTAATTGGACAAAAGCTTTAGGAATTACAATGAGAGCAGAAGAACTACTAGAAGGAGCCTCCATGTTTTACTGCTTTACAAGGAATACTCAAAACAAGCTCTAGGAACCAGGAACAGGACAGATGCAGCTTAGCTGGCTGGGCTGTGGGGCTAAGATCTGCTCTCAACTTCAGCACTTCATTAATCCACAGAACTCTGAAGCCATTAATGCTTCCTGCAAGTGACTGCTGTGTTTGTGTTTCCTACTGGAAAGCAAGCAGAGCAGAGTCAGTGTCTAGCCTTGAGCTGGAGAGCTCAAGGTACATCTGGTACACAAGGCTGGCACAAGGCAAGCAGCTCAGGCAAGGAGCTCTCTGCTGCTGCAGGAGGCTTTGAAGGAGCAGGAAATCCTTGCTCTCACCCTCCCTGCTTCACCTGCTGAGGGCAAGGCAGTGGGGATCATTCCTCCTTTCTCAGGGAGGGATCTGCACTGTGCCATTGTCCTGTCGGACTTGGTGGGACTGGGAACACCAGGAAGGCTCAGCCTCTGTGGGCTTTAGGAAGTCTGTGTTCTCTGATCAATCCTCTTGGCTCGATAGAAACAAACCCTCACGTGGTTTAGCTCAATAAAAGCTAAGCTTTGCAATAAATGATCTCAAAACCCCCACAGTGAAGCCTTAGAGACTCCAGAGATGTTTCCCTCAGGTGAAACGGGGAAGTGCAGAGACCACCTTCTTCTCCCCAAACTCAGCAATGGAAACTCATGGGTACTCAAACCAAACAGCTGCACCCAAAGGTGTGTGTTTTCCATGCGTGTGCTCCCAGCCATCCCACGTGGCAACACTGACACCCTCTGGGAACGCTGCAGCCCAGGAAGGAGACATTACCTCAGTGCCTAGCAAATGACATCACTCTAAGTGGAACAGGAGCATCTTGGACACTATGTAGCACCAAGCAAACTCAAATCAACCAAACCAACATCATGCCAAAGGCTCAGCTGCCGCTGGGCAGCTTCTCATCCAGCTGGGCTTGGGATTTCACAGAGCTGAAGGACACAAAAGCCTTAATACTGCAAATAAACAGTAGTAATAAGAAGGGGAAGCAACTAAAGAGTAATTATCTCGCATTAAATGGCTAAAAAGAAGCAAATGGAAGAGTGAATCAATCTCATTTACATTTGAGCACATAGAGAAGTAAGACTGAGCTGTGGCAGCCATGGCGAGCTCAGCTCAGTGCAGATGGAGCTCTGCTCTTCCCAAGGAGATCAAACCACCCCTTGGACAAGCAGAGCGGTCCTACATCTGCCACTGACCTGCTGCATTGTGCTGCACAATGCGCTTGTGCTCCGTGCCTCGGTTTCCCCATCTGGAAAAGAGGGGCGATGAATCTGATCCTCTTTTAAACCAGAAGCACCTGCAGGAAAGCCCACGGGTGCCTAAGGCAGGATTGCTTCCAAATACATTTGTCTTCAGCTTTAAACAGCGTAATAAAGGAAGTTAAATCAAAGAGAATGGAAGAATAGTGATGGACTCACCTTTTCTTTAAATTAAGGTATTAAAACCAATCCAAATAATCAGAAATAATCCTATAACAGATTGTATCAGCGGCTCTTTAATTCCCACCCCATTTTTAAACAGTGAGGGCAAAAATCCACTCTTCTGCTAACAACACAGTAACTGCTACTGACTTAGGGAGATAGGTGAGAAAACACCCCTCTTTTCCCAAGGACCAAAAGGTCTTAAGCATATAAAACTGTACAACACAGAGAAGTAAATCCCAAATCATGGGGCATTTAAATGCAGCACCCAGGGTTATAGCCCCCCCCTCCCCAGTTCTTTGGCACGTGAAACCTTCAGCCCTATTCACTACAGCTGTGCACACGGGCACAAACCAAATGCTGAAGGAAAGCCTACCCAGGGGAGCGGATCTGGTTCTAAACGCTTGGGAAGGCTGATGAAATCAACTGGGGCAAACCCGAGTGAGGAATGACGAGGGCTCATTTACGTGCTATGGCTGGGCTTTCACCGACGCTCACCCAGGAGCCAATTATGCAGATGGTGCATGTGGAGAATGGTGCATGTGGAGAAGGTTCTGGGTGCATCCAACCCCTCCTTACTTCTCCTCACCCACACTTCCTCCCCCCCCAAAGCCGGTGCCCGCTCCGCCATACCTACAGGAAAGGAGCCACGTTTGGAACCCCTGAACCCGAAATCCCTTCAGCGGGGGGGGGGGGGACGACCCTTCCACAGCCCTCCAGGAGCGGGATGGGCGCGGAAACCGAGACCCCCATCCACAGCCGGTGGAGGCCGATGAGGGGAATGGAGACACCCCCCCCCCCCCCCCAACCTCCTCAATACCGGGAATGGGGGGGACGGGACGATCCCCTCAGACCCAACCCGCACCCCTCCACCCCGTGGCTTCCCGGCCCCCACCTCCTTTGGGCATCACGGCGGCGATGGCGGCTGCGGCGGCTGCGGCGAGGCCCCCCCCTCCCGGCCCCGAGCCGTGACCCGGCACCGGAACGCGCCCCACCTCCGCGCGCACAGTCACCGCCGCCCGTCAGGCCCCCGCCGCGGGGGCTGCCCGCAACGCTGCCGTTCCCCGCGCAGCCTCGCCGCCGCCCTCATGCGGCTTAGAACCGGGCCGCTTCGCCTCTCGGCGGGACGCGAGCTCCGCAGTGGTCCGGCCGAGGTAGGGGAGCGTACGGTAGGGTGGGGGTTTTGCTCAGGCACTGCGGAGGGCAGCCCGGTGGGGCGGGGCCAAGGGCTGGACCGGGTGCAAGAGGACCCCGCGGCTGACGGTGGCGCCGCGGCCCGGAGGGGTGAGCGGGGCCGGGGCTTTGGCTTCCCGCTGCCACGGGGTTGCAGTGGGGCTGGGGGAGCCGGAGCTGACGGAAGCTGTTGCTTCAGGGTGGCCCGCGGTAGGCGAGGGCCTTGTGTCGCCTCGTTTCGCTGAGGGGAAACCCGGTTTGTTGTGGTGGGGGAACGCGGCGTCACCACGGGGCCGCGTCTGGGGAGATACGGCTCATTCACGGCTTTATATTTTACCTTGGAAGCGGTAAATAAGCACAGGTGTCCTCGGAGAGCTGTGTCTAACTTTGTTTTATTCTGGTGATTCTAAGGACTTGGGAGCAGGCGGAGGTTTGAGTGCAGTTAACCGCTGGTTCCTTCGCCTTCCTCCTTGCTGAGGCCATGCCGAAGGTGAAGAGGAGCAGGAAGCCTCCGCCGGATGGCTGGGAGCTGATAGAGCCAACGCTGGATGAGCTGGACCAGAAGATGAGGGAAGGTGAGTGGCTGAGCTGGGTCTGCTCAGGGATGGGACCCTGGAACCAGCTGAACCTTAACTCCCTCCAGAGCACAGCTTCCTCTGCTAATACAAATATCCCATCACAGATGATAATACATATACATAATTATATATATAATATATGTATTATCATCTCTGCCTTGCAGTGGTACTGCAGGCTGAGCCTGGACAGTATTGGGCATTCTCTTCCGTATGTACTGTTTTCAGAGCACTTTGTTTGGGGCATGTTGTTTTGGGGCAGCTATGGCTGAGCCCTGGCTGAAGCTCACGGATGTGAGTGGAGGGACTGGTCATTCTTGTCCATGCTGTTGGTCTGGTCTGATGGGCCAGGGCAGCCATGAAGTCACCTGTCCCCCCAGTGCAGGTCACGTCATCCCCATTCTGGTCATTCAGGCATTATTAATGAAAGGAGCTCTTCCAGGTCAAGTCCTTTTTATTTGAATTATATTTAGGTTAGACATAAGGAGGCTCTTCCCTGTGAGGGTGCTGAGGCACTGGCACAGGGTGCCCAGAGAAGCTGTGGCTGCCCCATCCCTGGCAGTGTTCAAGGCCAGGTTGGACACAGGGGTTTGGAGCAACCTGCTCTAGTGGAAGGTGTCCCTGCCCATGGCAGGGATTGGAGCTGGATGAGCTTTCAGGTCCTTTCCAACCCAAACCATTCTATCATTCCGTGAATCTTCTCCCATTATGCTCAGTCTTATCTCTGTCATGCATATGTAAAGGTTCTTGGAACAGTTTCTTGCAAAGTGACTGAGGAATTAAGATGGGCACCTGAAACCTGGTATTTGTGTTCCCTCCCAGCGGAGACTGAACCTCACGAAGGGAAGAGGAAAGTGGAATCCCTTTGGCCTATCTTCAGGATCCATCACCAGAAAACACGTTACATCTTTGACCTCTTCTATAAAAGAAAAGCTATCAGCAGAGGTGAGGAAGGCAAAGGCTTTACCTGGGTGGGTGTCGTGGTTTAAACCCAGCCACACAGCTAGTTCACTCACTTCCCCTCTTCCTTCCTCTTTCTTTCCTTCTCACTCCCGGAGGGATGGGGAGGAGAATCGAAAGCATGTTAACTCCCACGGGTTAAGAACAGTCCAGTAACTAAGCTATAACACAAATCACTACTGCTACCACCAATGATAATAATGATAAGAGAAAATAACAAGGGAAGAGAATACAATACCACCCGCTGAAACGACTCCGACCCAAAAAGAGAGCCCCATGCCCTTCCAGGTAACTCCCAGTTACCTTCCCGGGCATGACATGCTGTGTGGTATGGAATACCTCTTTGGCCAGCTTGGGTCAGGTGTCCTTCCTCCTGGCCTCCCCTCCTCCCTGGCAGAGCGTGAGCCTCACAAAGTCCTTGGTCAGAGTAAACATGACTTAGGAACAACTAAAAGCATCGGTGTTATCAGCACTATTCCCAGGCTGAAAGTCAAAACACAGCGCTGCACCAGCTACTAAGAAGGAGAAACAAACCTGACTGCTACTGCTAAACCCAGGACAGTGGGGGAGAATGGAGGCAGACGTCTGCCTCCATGGGTGTGTTGGTCAGAGGGATGAGATGTATGGGGAAGGAAGAGAAAGCTGGCAGCTCTCTGGCTTTACTTACTAGTTACTGCAGGTAGTAATTCCTGATGGTGAATCTTCTAACACTTCCCGAGAGCTACGCGTGATGCTGTCTGCTCCTCTACAGAGCTCTATGAGTACTGCATCAAGGAAGGATATGCTGACAAAAACCTGATTGCAAAGTGGAAGAAACAGGGTTATGAGAACCTCTGCTGCCTCCGGTGTATCCAGACACGGGACACCAACTTTGGAACCAACTGCATCTGCAGGGTCCCCAAAAGCAAGCTGGAAGTGGTAAGAGTTTTCAGCTTGTTCCTCTCCTTGTGCTGACCCTTGTAGCATCTGGTCTAACTTCTGTGCCAGGGATAGCAGGAGGGGCAGTGCTGTTCTTCCTGGTAATTGCCGTTAGTTCCAACATTTCATATCCTTGCTGGTAGAGCTGGTATCTGATTGCTTCTTAAGTTACCATCAACTTTGGCATGCAGTTGTTTAAGGTTGTTAAAGCAGAAAACCTGATGATAGAAACCCTTCTCATGCAGACCTGTTCTCTGCCTGGTGGGCCCCTCTGCTCATGTCACTTGGCTCAAATCCCTTCTCTGTGTTTCTTTTCCAGGGGAGAATCATTGAATGCACTCACTGTGGATGCAGAGGCTGTTCTGGGTGACACCTTTAGCCCTAAAACTACTTTTTGAACTCTTGAGGGATGTCATCCTACGCAGCGGACTATTGGAGCAGGTACCAGCCACCTTCTGTTTGATTGCTTATTTCTCTACAGCAATAACCAGCAACGTACTCACCTGGATCATTCTACAGCGGTGGTGCTTTTGGAATGTGGTTTTGTGTAGCCATGTATTTTAAAATAAAGTCTGTCCCCCTCGACTTGTTCTGACTGGGCTGGATGCGTTCTGGTTGCTCTGCCTACTGGGAGGTTTTCCAAATGGGGGTTATTTTTTAACCAGCTCTCACTCTCCTTTCTCAACAAAGTGAATTTAAAAGGCTGTGTAGAAAGGAAGTAATACACTTCTCAAATGGCTTTCTGAACCAAGCTCTCTGCTGAGGTCTGTAACCTGGAATCGGTGCATAGATTCATGCATGAACACACACAGGAAAGGGACAAAACTAGCACTGAGCTAAACCACTGTTAAATCTGATGTTGCTTCTTCCTTTTTAAGCACAGGGTTTGTTAAGCTACAGCCTATGTAGTCCTCTGCAACTGAAAATTTGCTTGTCCTTAAAGCAAAGCACAAGCATCGTGTTACACAGTTACCGCAAGAGCTCAATTTTCACATTGAAACACCAAGGAGCATTACTATGGTTTAAAGGAGAGAGTTGGAAGTTCTTGCTGCGCAAGGAAGGTGGAGAACTTCAGCATCCTTCTCAGTGCTGTTTCTGCCCCGGCTGTTCCTGCACAGCTTCTGTCTCACTCTCATTGACTGCATGTTTTGGTGTCCGGTATTGGGCCCAGGGGTGGGGGGTCTCCTCTCCTGCCATTACTTTTAACCACCGATGGTAGTAGCCACGGAAACCATCAATTTTCTCCAGGTAGCGGTTCTTTGACTTATACTGCAAACAGAAAGCCAACAAAACAAGTGTCTGTTAGAAGAGAGCTCACTTGGATTCCAGCATGCAATAGCTACAAGCTGCTCCTTAAGACCCAGCTATGGAATGATTGCCAGCCAGATCAAACAAACCCAAAGGAAAAAGGCAGCCACTTCTATTTCCCTTCCCTTGTTGTGTGTCCTTCACGCTGTGAGCAGTTGTGGCTACTCACCCTGTCGAATGTTGGGGGGTACTGTGCTGCATACTCCAGCTGCCGTATGATCACTTCGTTGGGAGGCACTTGGTTATTCCTCATGTCCCGTAGGATCTCTGTGAGGTAACTGTAATCCAGCTTCCTCACAGCAGCAGCAATGAGGGTGCTGTAGATGTACTTGTTGGGAGTTATTCCAGACTTCTGGAAGCAACAAAACCTACTGTTAAACTTGCTTATCTGCACACTAGAGCAGGATTCCCAGAAGGAAAAGGCTCGCAGCCACAAGGAGCACAGCTCTTGTTGCAGGCCCTGTGTAGCAGCTTAAGAGTGCCAGCATACCCCATTGCAAGCCCTCTCCTGTCCCAGCAGATACAGGACATTTGAGCTGGCAGCTACTCTGGAGCTGCATGGTTTTGGAGTGAGAACACAAGCCCCCAACACAAGAATCACATCCTGTCTTTTTAGAAGCATTAACGCTTCACTTTGCCTCTTCCTGCAACAGAGGTTTGGTTTGGGGTTTCTTATTACCTTTAAATCTGAGAGTAACTGCAGTCCATCCTTCTCCTGGCGGCAAGCAATTGCCAAGTTACAGAAGGTGTGGAGGTTGGGTGATAGGCCCCTCTTCACTAGAGCTGGCAGCATGCTCTGCAAGACACAAGTGTTGGCATCAGTTTCCAGAAAGTCTTGGTGGAGCTTTCCAGACAGAGCTGACTGTGCTAGAACAGAATCCACAGATCCTTACCCATTAACCCTGTGGAAAACACTCTGAGATCCCCAGTTGCTAGTGTGGACAGAGGAACAGGTCTCACAAAACACAGCTAATGAGGGAGGCCTGAGACAACATGGCTGAGTTTTGGGGTCTTTTTCCTCACCTTTGCTCCTTCCAGATCTCCCTGTTTACTTTTCTTCCTTATTAAAGTGTTAAAGAAGGTCACATCTACTTTTACTTTATGCTTATCTAGGAGTGCCAGCAAAGCAGACTCTGAGGGGCTCTGGGGTTCCACCAGCTCAGCCAGTAATGTGAATGTTTTAATGTTGGGTTCTGCATTGTCCTCTTTCATTTTATTCAAGAAGCCCTCCACATCCCCCATCAAAGCCAGTCTATCAGATGGTGCAGACACTCTCCCCAAGGAAACCACGGCTCCGTTGGGCATCTTGGAATCCAGCAAGTTGGGCAGGTTGCTGAATTGCAGTGTCTGGCTTTGGTGTGCTCGTTCCTGCTCCATCTCATGCTGGCCTCTACTCATCAAGGCTCCAGGCTTGCTGAGAGCTAAAGAGGGGCTGTCGAGAGCTGCTGCTTCTCCTTTAGCCTGGGTCACATCTCTATTTTGTGGCCCGGCCTCTTCTTTAGGCTGCACTGAGCCTTCCTGAAAGAGTTGTTTTTCCATAGCTTCCACATCCAGCTGGACAGCAGCTCCACTCTCTGGTCCCTTCTTCTGCTTCTTAACCTTTTCCTTCTGCCTCCTGGGTGCAAGCCTGAGCTGAGGTGAGTTCTCACTGGGAGGGCTGAGCAGGAGTTCAGAAGCCACGGCAGGGTCACCGATCCCACAGTCTCTTGCAGCACGCAGCATCAGATTGTAAGTGTGGCTGTCACCTTTTATCCCAAGCTTAGCCATTTGTTTCCAAACCTAAAGAGGAGAAGATGAACATCAGGTGTACATGATATTAAATAACAGGGGTGTTTCTAGCAGATTGTATCTGTGAATGGTGTCTGCTTGCAGAAAAGGAGTGAGTTTAGAGCATGATAAGATGCCACTGGACTGTGGGATCATCCATGGTGTTTTACCCGTCTGTGAGACATCCTGATGGACATCTGGTTTACAGAGCTTGTCCCAGGAGGAGCTGAACTCCCTGTTTCACCAGCTCTGGGCAACCTCCTGCCTTCTGCGCATTCAAGTTACAATTCAGAAGCACTTCTTCCTCCCCACTTACGAAGACAAACCTGTAAGGCGTATCGGAAACCACTTTCGTTGTCCTTTATGCAGCCCATCAGAAGGAAGCTGAAGGTCTCAACGGTGGGAACATGGCCCTTGTGCACGATTTCCTAGAAGAGCAGAGACAGCATTAAACTTCCAGTTACCCAGAATGTCTGCTGCAGTGAAGTTCAAGTACTGCTGTTGTCTTCTGGGGATACAGCAGCAACAAAGCATAGGTGAGCTCCCAGAACGGTCGCTCCAGGAGAAAGAGAGCCCTGAAATGCACACCCAGATCCCAGCTTCCTCCTCCTGGGAGCTATGGGAAATTTAGGAGCAGAAACAGCAATGCTTTTGGCTTCTCCCAGACCGGCCCTTCAGAGAAGAGCTGCTGTAAGAGCTCAACAAGAAGCTGGGTATCAGTATATGGGTCTTCAAAAGGAGGAATGGAAACAGACACAGCATTGTTTGTTGAGTCTCTGACCAGAGTCTTAAAGCCAACCTCTGCAGCTGCCTCCTTTTATGTACCTGAGCCTCATGTTTGCTATGTACCAAGACCATTTCATTGTATGAGACCAAGGATCAATGAAATACAAACATGTGATGTGTAATCACCTCTGCTGGGAACGAAGTAAAAGTGGTCTATGCAATATGGCAACTTCCAGGAGCTGTAACTGGAGCAGACTGCATTAAATACGGTATTATTATATAGTATTTACCTTCAGTACATCAAAGCACATCCTGAGATCAGAGCACAGGGCACAGGCCTTCAGCAGTGCGTGGTAGGTGATGAGGTTCAGCTCTTCATTCTTGCTTTTTAGCTGCTGCCGTAACTTGAGAGCACTCTGCAGACCCGAGTCCTTCCATGGGGATTCAGCACAGGCATTGAACAGTGCTGTGTAAGTGGCCTCGGTGGGAGTTAAGCCACGTTTCTTCATCTGCAGGAAGAGAAGGATTTGAACTGGCTTTTTAGGAGAGGACTTATACTCTTTGAACATGTTTTTAAGAGTTTCAGGCTAAGAAAGGTGCAAACTCAAAGGTATTTTGGAGACAAAGTAATGCAACCAAATGCATGACACAGCTTTAACTTAGAAAACATAACAAAGGTTTGAGAGAGGAGAGGATATGAACCTACATCATTGTAGAGCCTGAATGCTTTCTTCACATAGCCAACCCTGCCACAGCCACCAATCAGAACTGTGTAATTGCCTTCTTCTGGCTGTACACGTTCTTCCTTCAGCATCTGCACTTCGAACAGCTCCAGAGCCTCTGCCAGCTGCAGGGAAGAGGAAAATCCATGCTAAAGCAGCACAAGAATCAATTATAATGGGTATTTTGTATGCAGCTGTGGCCTGACTGTGGTGAAAGCCCTACAGAGAGCATAGGATTCCTCACAAATTCTCCTTTCTGTAAAGATGCTAAGGGATGGGACGATACAGATGGGACTGAGCTGCATCTTTCACAGACAAATTGTGCTTAACAAACCCGATCACCTGCTATGAATGAGTAACCTGCTTAGCTGATACAGGACAAGCAGTGGACACTGTCTACCTGGGTGTCTCTAGGGGGCTTTTCAATACAGTTTCCCAGTCTCCTAGAGCAGCTGATACATTACTGTCTAGACAAGGGGTCTGTGTGGTGAGGGGGGGACTGGCTTGTGGTGAACAGCTCCTTCTCAAACTGAGGACCTGTCACTCGTGGGGTCCCCCAGGGATCAATATTGGGCCCAACACTGTTCAGTGTCTTCACAAGTGGTGTGGATGATGAACAGTGTGCCACTACAGCAAAAGAAGGCAACAGGATGCTTGGTTACATCAACAGCTGAGACAGAGAAGCCATCATCCCACTCTACTCGGTACTTCTCAGGCCACACCTGGGAATACTTGGTTTAGTTTTGGTCCCTGCTATGCAAAAAGGATGTGGACAGGGTGGAGAGGGTCCACAAAATTGATCCAAGGAGCAGAAAGCCACACAAGGCAAAGCTGACAGAGCTGGGCTTGAGAAAAGAAGCCCCAGGGGAAGACCTTGTCACCATGCTCGGTATTTAAAGGGTGGCTACACAGAAGGCAGAGGCTCCTTCTTACATGGAAAAGACACAGGGCAATGGGCACAAGAGAGTATTTCCCAATGAGATCAACCAGCCCCTGGGATAACCTCTCCAGGGAAGCAGCGGCTTCCCCAACACTGGACACTGTTGAGATTCAGCTGCACAGGGTGCCGGGACATCGTTTAGATCATGCTTTGCCGACAAAGGTTGGACCAGATGACCCTTGAGGTCCCCCCCCCCACCTGATGTTCTGCGAGTCTACGATCCCCCATCAATGCCGTTACCAAAGCAGCGAAGAGCCGGGCACAAACCTTGTTTTCTTTGATGAGAGCCTTGCACCGCAGGAAGTACCAATACGGGGTGTTCGTGGGGCCGCGCCGAGCTCTTCGTTCTGCTTCTTCCTCTCCCTCCTCCCGCAGCTTTAAATTCTGGAGGCGCGGGGTCGTTTTGTGATAGTATTTCCTAGAGGAAAACTCCTCAGACAGCGTCCCGAACTCCACACCTTCATCATCGCCATCCTCCTCCCGCTCCCGCTCCTGCTCCTCCCCAGCGCCGCTCGCCCTCAGGCCGCTACGGGGCAGCTCTCGGGACGCTTGCGACGACCCCAACAGCCTCCACCCCGGTCCCCGGAGCTGCCGCGGTGCCTTCCCGGCGGGGGCTGCGGCCGGGCCCCGCCGCACGGCGCTGGAAGCCCAGCGGCACCGCGACGCCAGGGGCAGGAGCAGCCCCAGCGGCCTCATGGTGCTTCAGCGGGGCCCGGTCCCCCCCCCTCCCTCCACTCCCGGCTGCCGCCGCCGCCTCAGCGGGGCGGAAGAGGCGCGGCCTCCGCCGGAGCTCGGCGCAGCCGGGTCGGGGGTGAGTCCCGGCATTCCGCGGGCGGGCGGCGCGGGGCGGCCAGGAGCTGCCGCCGCCGCTCTCCCCGTTCCTTAGGCGCTGCCGGCGCGGAGCAGAGCGGGCCGGGCCGGGCCTGCCCGGGCCCGCCCGCCCGCTGCTCCCGCCGCCATCATCACCACCACCACCATACCCCCGCTGCCGGCCCGCTGCCGCCGGCCCCCGGCCGCCACCATGCAGGAGCTCATCGCCAGCGTGGACCACATCAAGTTCGACCTGGAGCTGGCCGTGGAGCAGCAGCTGGGGGCGCAGCCGCTGCCCTTCCCCGGCATGGACAGTGCGTGCGGGCACCGGGTTGTGGCCGGGCGCTTCCCCCCCACCACCCCTCACCTTGAGCCGGGGAGGAGGGTGGGGGAACGGGGGGGGAGGTTTCCCGGGATCTGAGCGCTTTAGCTCAGGTCTTGTCCTTAAATCCACCCGAATTCCGCGTCCCCGGTGAGGTTTGTGTGTTAACCCAGGTGTGCTGTGTTACTGCTTAGCGAAAGCCTGGAGGATGGAAGTTGGGGCGTTTTCAGGAATAAACATCACTTTCCTGCACAGTAACTGATGTTTTTTCCCCCTTCCCTCCTGATGGATGAGGTATTTTGATGATAGGGAGGCTTCTCCTTTGGGTATATCCATGGGCTCGGCTCTAAGCCATTCCCTTCGGTCTGATAACCGGATGCAGGTGGTCTGCAGGAGACTTTGCTGAAGCTTCCGGGCTCCTCAGTTTGTGTTTTAACCCCCTCAAACATTGTGGGCCCTGTTGGACCAGAAGGGGGTAACACACCCATGGTTGTTTCAGGCTCCTGTGGTCAAACACTGTAAGGCTGTTGTTGACAGGGCTGTAATTGCAGTGTGCACTGACACGATTGACTTAGCAGCAGAGGGAAACCCAGTCAACACAACCTAAATACCTGGAAAGCAAAACAAGCACCACTAAATCTCTGCAAGTTCCCTTTGGTGCCCCCCAACAAGAATGCAGGTGTTTGCCAGGGCCATAACGGAGCAAGGAACTTAAGCAGGGCAGTAAATTCCCCAAACCGGACCAAAGCACTGCTTTCCTTTTGATGTTAAGGACCAGATGCTCCCTCTGGGGAAGGAAACAGGTTAAAAGTTGCCACCAGACCGAGTTAAAATGAGTTATGTTTCTTCTCTCCACAGAATCCGGCGCGGCTGTCTGTGAATTCTTTCTAAAAGCGGCCTGTGGAAAAGGCAAGTGAAGTTTCCAATGGAATTAAGGGGCTGGAGGGAGGGAGACCAGTGGTTTCAAGCACTGCCTATGTTACTCTTGTGGTTTTAAAGCCTAGAGTGAGGATGAGACTGAAAGATGCAGCACTTGGGGAATAATGGTATTGAGAGGTGGGGAGGTGAATAAGCGATGCAACCGGTAAAGGGAGGTTTGAACTTGCCACACACAGACCTTGCTGTGGACGTGCTGGGATTATTGCTGTGGTTCTTGGAAGTCGGGATTCTTCCAAGTAACAAGGGATGGGACAAGAGGAAACGGCCTCAAGCTGTGCCAGGGGAGGTTTAGGTTGGACATTAGGAACAATTCCTTCCCCAAAGGCTGCCCAGGGCAGTGCTGGAGTCACCATCCCTGGAAGCATTCACAAACCACGTAGATGAGGCCCTCAGTGCCATGGGTCAGTGGTGGCCTTGGCAGTGCTGGGGAGCAGTTGGACTTAATGATCTTAAAGGTCTTTTCCAACCTGCTTGATTCTAAGATTAAGAGCTGGAGACTGTTGCTTACCTTGTTAGAGGGTGACATAAGGCTCACCTGGAACTCCCTGTTTTGCTAGTACCACTAAAGGCTAAATTCCTAATAGGAAGTGATGTCTTCCAAACCACATCTTGCAGAGGGGAAGAAAGTGTTGCTATTGCCCTGTGCTACCTTGTGCTGTGTATTTTACATGTTGTTCTTTCCCTTCTCCTTGCCCTGTCCTTCCGCAGGGGGTATGTGCCCGTTCCGACACATCAGTGGGGAGAAGACAGTTGTTTGCAAACACTGGCTACGAGGACTGTGCAAAAAGGGAGACCAGTGCGAGTTTCTACACGAGTATGACATGACCAAGATGCCTGAGTGTTACTTCTACTCCAAATTTGGTAAGGGCTGTTGTAACTCCTACTTCGTATTCCTTGCTGGCGTGGGAGTCTGGTGAAGAGGATCCCAGTACATCCCTGTTATCCATCTGTGGAGCGTTACGTTTCTTTTCTGTCTGATGGTATTAGACCATAATGTTTTCAGGTCTTAGTCCTTCACTTTACTACCCCCCCTGATTCTGTGACATACTGTAGATGTCTCCTCTCCCAAGAGCTTGTCCGTTGGGGGAAGAGGTGGGAAGTTCAAGTTTTGACTGGGTTTTATGCCTTACGTTCTCTTTGGGTACGAGATGAGTAGGCCGAGCAGTTGATCTTTGCATGACTCTTATTTTGGGGAGATGGTGAGCAGCAGCGGGCATGGGGGTGCAAAACTTTTATGCACTTGCTTTCCAGCTCTGGAGATGTGGACATAATGAGGCAACTTGCTGTCAGAAACTTACAGTCTTGTAGGTTTCCTTGGATTGAGGTTAGTGTGCAATTTGTAGTTTCTCCACGCTTCTGGTGCACTGAATGTTTGGGTTTTGTTACCGTGACTGCTCTTTTCAGTTTAGTTTCTGCATTGTTTCTAAAAGCACCTGTGTCTAATCCAGCCTGGTAGAACTTTGCTCACCGAGGGTGAGTCCTTGGTGTTCTTCATCTAGGGTAAGGCAGGCAGTATGACTGTTGTGCCTGAATTTATCCATGTTGGTAATGCTTTGTGGGAGCTACGTGAGCCAGGTAACGTTTTGAGAACCATTTGATCTTGAACCTGCACAATTGACTAACAAGTGTGTTTGCCTTTGCTACAGGGGAATGCAGTAACAAAGAATGCCCATTCTTGCACATTGACCCGGAGTCTAAGATCAAAGACTGTCCCTGGTATGACAGAGGCTTCTGTAAACATGGTATGTCCCACAGTTGCTGCTTCTGTGGCTATAACTCAAGGGTAGGGTGTTGCTGTTCTTTCTTTGGGTGATCTGCTTGTGTACTTGCTGCTGCTGAGTGCTGGGGTACGTATACATGGAACATGAACTGCTGAGCTTTGTGTTGCAGGTCCCCTCTGCAGACACCGGCACACTCGGAGAGTCATTTGTGTGAATTACCTGGTAGGATTCTGTCCAGAGGGGCCTAGCTGTAAATTCATGCAGTGAGTATGCTTCCAGGCTTGTCCTGTCATCTTGTGTTTCTCTTTGTAATCAGGTCTATGTCAAACAAGGGTGCTCCAGTGCTTCCCAGTGGCTTTGGAGACTCGGCCAATGTTTAGTTTCTTGTAATGATCTAAGGATATGGAGCAGGGCCTTTTTAGGGGATTACCCTGAAGACTTCAGAGTGGAGATCAGATCCCCTCAGTGCAGTGGGATCACATGGGTTTGTCAGATAACCACAGAATGTTTTGGGTTGGAAGGGACCTTAAAGCTCATCCAGTTCCAACCCCTGGCATAGGCAGGGACCCGTTCCACTAGAGCAGCTTGCTCCAAGCCCTGTGTCCAACCTGGCCTTGAGCACTGCCAGGGATGGGGCAGCCACAGCTTCTCTGGGCACCCTGTGCCAGCGCCTCAGCATCCTCACAGGGAAGAACGTCTCTGCCTAAGAGCTTGTCTCAATCTTCTGTTCTGGAAGACTTCACAGCTACAGGGATGTCCTACATCCCAGATTCTCATTTTCCTATAAATAATTGCTGAGCATCAGAATGGAAGGAGAAGTGGGGAGGGGGAAAGTCTGTTCCCTGTGGGCTGAATTGACTTGGCTGAATGGTTGGTTGGTTGGTTGGAGTTAATTGAGCTGATGGTAAAATGTTGACCTATGATTTAAAGGTCGATTTTCTTGTTTCCATCTAACCCAGCCCTCGGTTTGAACTGCCAATGGGAACCACAGAGCAACCACCGCTGCCTCAACCGACACAAGCACAGCAAAAGGTACACAATTCCCCCACCTGCAAAGCACTGCCTGCAGTGCTCTGTAGTCAAAAGTGGACACCTGGGCTCTTGCTGGAGAGTCTTTATTGGAGAAATACTCAGTGAATGAGGGAAAACCCTACCTATTTTATAACAGGATATGATACTCTTTTGTGTTTGAGAACTTGGAGAACAAATCCTAATCAATCACAAAGCGCTGTTCTCTTTCCAGCCTTCTCATGTCCACCATATGATCACAACAGACTTGCTGCTGCTCCTAGTACTGTGGGGCTTTGCTTTGCTTTTTTCCTCCCTGTGCCCTGGTTAACCTTGGTCACTAGTATTGTCCTGCAGCTCAAAGGCCAACAGTAGCAGTTCTGTTACTTGGGGGCACTGCCTGGAAGAGAGGGTGCAATGCAAGAATTAAGCAGTGAACAACAGTGAGTGCTGTTAGAGTGATGAAAACCCTACCATTTCTTCAACTGTATGGTGGAGATGTAGTCACAGAGCACTCCCACATGACACAGAAGCACCTCATACGTGGTTGTGCAGCAATCTGCCAGTTTTTATAATCTGTGTGATACCTGTCAGTGATGACAAGGGATATTTTGGCAGCCTAAACCTACTCCCTAAATCTGCTTTCCAGAGAAAAACAGAATTGCTGGGCTTTGTAAGCCTCGGTGCTCCATTTCTTCTCTGTGCTGTTCCAGCTGGCAGAGCACCCACGCACAGATTTGGAGGAAAATTGATCATTTGATGTATGGGGTGCTCTTTTCCCTTCTAACAAAGTAACAGCCATAAAGTTCTTTATCCTTGATGCACTTAATGACTCAGAACCCTTCTCCTGACCAACAGAGGACACCCCAAGTCATCGGAGTCATGCAGTCTCAAAATAACAACGCTGGGAACAGAGGACCCCGGCCGTTGGAGCAAGTCACCTGCTACAAGGTAGGCTAGAGGGGAGGGAAAGCAGAGGGTGCTGGGTGTGAGGAGTACAGAGTGCATGTCCCAGCTCCCTGTCCAGCTCAGTGTTAACAGAATCCAGTGTTGGGGAATCCACCACTTCCCTGGGAGATTATCCCAGTGGCTGGTTGTTCTCATTGGGGATTATTTTCCTCTTGTGTCTAGTCAGGATCTCCCCAGCAGTAACTTGTGCCCACTGCCCCTCATCCTTTCCGTGTGACTCCTTGTAAAAAGGGAGTCTCAGTCTTTGTAGCCAACTTTAATACTGGGACATGGTGACAGGGTCTCCCCTAAGCCTTCTTTTCTCTAGGCTGAACAAGCCCAGCTCCGTCAGCCTTTCCTTACAGGGCTTTTCACTCCTTGGAATGTTGTGGCCCTTCTCTGGACCCTCTCTAGCCTGTCCACATCTTTATTGCATATTGGGGACCAAACCTGAACCCAGTATTCCAGGTGTGGCCTAATGTGTGTCAAGAGTGGGATGATGACTTCTCTGTCTCTGCTGGTGATGCCCTAATTCAGGATAGCTGACTGGGAGAGCCCCACAGATCTTGGATACAGTGCCCATTAGGTGGAATAGTCTTGGAATCTTCTTGTGCGTTAGAGCTCTGCACTGTTCATAGCGGTACGCTGAGAGCTCTCTCTTCTGTAGTACAATAACTTGGCATCGTGTTGCTCCCAGCACAGAAGCAGCTTTTGCTCCAAGGAGTGGAAACAGCCCATAAATCATGTCTTTTGTCACTCTGTGGTTCACTTCCCCTGCAAAATGCTGCATCTTCCATACACAGCATCTGAACAGATGCTGCTGATAAAGGCAGCCAGAGGAAACGAGCTGTAACTGTGTAATAATTGCTCTCTCTTCCTTTCTCCTTTTAGTGTGGTGAAAAAGGTCATTATGCCAACAGATGCACCAAAGGACATCTGGCCTTTCTCAGTGGACAGTGAAAGAGCAGAACGAAGAGTGCGAGGGAGTTATTAACGCTGAGAAAAGGTTTCTGCCTAGCACTATGTCTTGAACTATTAATCAGGGGTTTTTTTAATGCCATTACTGAAAGAACTGGTCAGAGGCTGGCTGCTGCTAAGCAACATTTTTGTAACTGTCCACAACTTGTTTTGTTTTATGTTTTAACCTTTTTAAAATAGATTTTGGCCTCTGCCTCTCTTCACTGAGCCCTGCTGAAAGGTAGATCTAAAAGCCAATCGATACGCAAACCCCTCACTGGTGCAGCACTCTACCTAAACACGTCTTCTGCCAGTGTTTCTTTAAAGTGTTTTCCTTCTGCCACTTCTCTTTGGGGAGCCTATGGAAGCAGGCAGACTGGGAAAACTCATACTTGAAATGCCTTCCCTTCAGTGAGGAAGCAGAGATTCTGCTGTCCTGTAGCTCTTAAAAAGCAAAGTCATGTTCCCAGGTCCAGCCTGTTGTAGTCAATAAGCTTGTCCTGGTGGCTCACTTAAGGCCTCACGTATGTGAGGCTGTAAAACTCTCATCCACTTGCTTTGTTTCTGTGCTTCTTGCTATACTGAAGGCTAGAAATTCATCTTCTGGGTGAGAACTGATCAAGGGGAGAATAAATTGGCATCTCTGTGCTTAGCCAAACAGTGAGGAGCAATGATTATAGGAAAGCCATGCCTGTGCTCATGTTCCGTTTGCAAACAGCAAAGGGAAATGAACACAGCTTGAAGAGAGGAATAGAAGAGCCTTGTCTCAGCCCCCCTCCCGACATCCAGCTCACACTGAGCAGGTATTTCCATAGCCTAGAGAAGACTGAGAAGTGGAGAGATATATTCTTATGGAACACTGCTTTTAAAAGTGGTAGAGTGTTCTGAGAGCAATTTTTGTAGCCAAACTCCTTTCGTTTTGTGAGAAGATTATTTCCAAAGGGCCAATGACAAAACATCAATTAAAAACAAGACAAAAAATGTACCGACAGCGTGAGCCTTATTGATCCTGAGCCCTCTCCTTTGTTGCCTTTTTACTTTGTTTTTATTGAAATGGACTGATGGAAAAAGCTGGGTGTGAATTTCTTTTCTTGTAAGAACAAGGCAATATGCCTGGATGAAGTGACCAGAGCACTTATTTGAGTGACTGCTATTATTTCACTGTGGAGAGTCAGTCAAAACAGGTGTTTCATGACAGACCATTGGATGCTTCTTGTAAGACATTGTGCCTGCAGAGGCTGAACAGTGGTTCAACTGTGTGTTACCTGTGTGTAACTGGACATGTGGAAAAGGAGCAAAACACTTTGGTACCTGGTCACCTTCCCCACCTAGTTGAGTTTATGGTCTTCCCTATCTGAAGAGATGCTTTGCAAACCTGAAAGCCTTCCTGTTACCACCATAGCTCTTCAGAGATTGTTCACATCCCTTAAGAAGTGGTTTTCTCTCTCCCTCCTGGTCAGACAAGCATACTGCAGGTTGCACCTGCAGCTACAAGCATCAGCAGGTAGTGTTGTGGCAGGATGTGCTTGCTGAATGGGACCAAACCCTCAGATGCTCCTTTAAGCCACACTTACGAACATTGTGGCTCTTGTTAAAACTTCCCAGTGCTGCCTTGAAGTCAAGCAGTAAAGTTTTCCTTTTAATATAAGCTTATACACATTCAGAAGAGCCCTCCAGCTTCTTTTAGCAACACAAGCAAGGTTTTAATAGAAATATCAGGTTACCAGAGGCAAGAAGCATTAGAATCCCAGTGACAGTGTGGGAGTTGCAGGCCTCTTTAAAGCTAGACTATCTGGAAACTGCTCAAATACGTGCAGTCCCCAGGTGACAGCCTGATTAAGGATCAGAAACACATGGCCCCACCACCAAGCCACCTAAAGCTCAGATAATTTCAGATCAAAATGCCTCCTTTCAGCTACTTCATCCTGTACTAATGGGCATTAGGAAGTAATCCAATGCTTTTTACTTTTATCCAGAGTTAAACAGGAATCAGTTGTCATCGTTTCCCCAGTTCCTAATACAACCTAAACAACACTTTCCCCACCCTTAGGTTTTAGGGGTGAAACTGAGAAGCCAAAACCTCACTTGCACAGTACAATGAACAAGTCAGTTACGAGAGTGTCAGCTCAGTACACGTAAAGTGTCTGCACTTTATTATTGGTCACAGTAGTACAGATGTTAGCATGAATAGTTGGGATGTCTTCAGTCAGGGTAACTGTTCAGCAGCCAGGTCTGTTCCAGAGCTGTACCTTCACTTCCTGAAAGCCACACTTCAGTGGTACTTCCTGCGGCGCTCGTGCTCTGCAGCATGCAAAACAAAGCAGGTTAGTTTTACTGAAGTCACCAGAAATACACACCACGCCTGAAATAACAGCAAAGAAAGCACTCTAAGGACAAATCTGAGCATGCAGCTTCTAAGCACCATCAGGTCAGACAGGCAACAAGAGCTACATCACCAAGAGACCAATGGCCATCTGATAACTAAGTAAATATTCAAGTGTTTTGCAGCTAAATGAAGCCTGCTTGCTCAGGCTGGGATTCAAGCAGCAGTGGTGTGCACAGCCATCCATAGCAGCAGCAGATTGTTTCTATTGCCCCAAGCAGCCTCCCGAGCCACGCTATACGCATACAGCCGCATTGCTTTTACTTACTCAGGTGGCTGTAGCTCCAGATGTAGCTGATAACAACATAACCAGCGAGCACCATGGAGATGCCACCCAGGCCCCCTTTCCTCACATCGATGTATTTATTGTAGTATCTGTTGTAACCTGCGGAGGAAGAACGTTGTCAGAGGAGTTACACACTGGGCAGGGTCTGAAAACAGCCTGGTTTCACACAGCTTGGGTAAATGGTTCCTAAGGAACATCTGAGGGTCTCAGAGAAGAGAAGGCTGCGAGGAGACCTCAGAGCAGCCTTCCAGTATCTGAAGGGGGCCTACAAGGATGCTGGGGAGGGACTCTTCATTAGGGACTGTAGTGATAGGACAAGGGGTAACGGGTTAAAACTTAAACAGGGGAAGTTTAGACTGGATATAAGAAGGAAGTTCTTTACTGTGAGGGTGGTGAGGCACTGGAATGGGTTGCCCAGAGAAGTGAATGCTCCATCCCTGTCAGTGTTCAAGGCCAGGTTGGACAGAGCCTTGGATGCCATGGATTAGTGCGAGGTGTCCCTGCCCATGGCAGGGGGTTGGAACTGGCTGATCTTAAGGTCCTTTCCATCCCAAACCATTCTATGATTCTAAATCCGAATGCTATAGCATACAATCTACAGAGCATAGACACAATCTACAGCAAAGGGCATGGGTCAAAACTTACACAAGAAGAAATACCAAAAACAAGCCTTTGGTGGATAAAGCCCAAGCAAGAAACAAATCTACCGATGGAAAAACACGATGCTAAAGAGGAGATGCTGTTCTGAGAAAGCAAAAATCGCCTCGAATCAGCCCGATAGTACCAGATCCCCCCCCACATCCAGCACCCAGCGATGCTCATGCACCGAGGTGCCTTAGCTCCGGCAGGAGAAGGGATCCGCACCCCTCATTGTCCCCGCCGGCCGCGGGGGTGCGGAGCAGGATTGATCCTCTGAGCCCTCACCTCACCTCACCTCTTCGTATGGCCCCCAGGATGCCGCCGGGGGTGAAGTCCCTCATGGCCAGCCAGCTGGGCAGCTGGCCCAGCTTCACGTCCAGCAGCTTCATGTCCTTGAGGAGAACTGCAGCACATAAAGAGACAGACACAGCCGGTCAGAGGGGACGGGAGGGAGGGAAAGGGAAGGAGCCGCGGTCACCTTGGGGCCCCGCCGCACTCACCCGGCGGCTGCGCCATCTTGCCGCTGTGAGGGGCCGGCCGGGAAGCGGCCGCGCTGAGGCTGCCGGGAGGAAGGTCGGGCGGAACCCGGATGTTGGGGCGGGTGGCGAAGGGCGGGCGCCATGTTGGGGGGGTCCGTCCTCCCCTTGGTCCCTCCGTCGTCCCGCTCCGGAGGGGCCCCCTGAGGAGGTGATGGCCGCGGTGGTGCCGCCTTGTCCCGTCCCATCTCCTCACCGCGGGGTCGGTTCCTCAATGGGGGCGGCACATGCTGCTTCCATCGGTGGGCATGTGGGGTCCTGCCAGCATGGCGGCCTGTCACTGCGCTAGGGTCTCCGTGAGGGGTTTCCTGCCCTGACCCCGGTCTCCTCCTCAGCAGCAGCAATGGAGCCATGGAACGGTTTGGGTTGGAAGGGACCTTAAAGCTCATCCATCTCCAAGCGGGGACCCCTTCCACTAGAGCAGCTTGCTCCAAGCCCCTGTGTCCAACCTGGCCTTGAGCACTGCCAGGGATGGGGCAGCCACAGCTCCTCTGGGCACCCTGTGCCAGTGCCTCAGCACCCTCACAGCGCAGAACTGCTTCCTTACACCTTATGCAGGGTGTACTCCGATGGTAGAAGGTGTCAGCATCTCTGTGAGTGTTGGGTGTTAGCGCTGCAGCTTGTGGGGAAACAGCAGAGAGGGAAAACCCCACCATTTCTGCATCAGCATCATCACAAGACTTCATCATCGGTTTTGCAGGGCTGCTGGTCTCCCACAGATGATTTTTCTCCAGTTCTGAGCAAGTTGCAGCTCTTATCCCTGTAAATGTGCATCCACAGATAGGCTATACTGCAACGTGCGTTTAGATTTGCTATCATATTTCAATGTAAGAGGTGAGGGCTTCCCAGACCTCTTTCAGGGGTCACCCCCTCTCCTGCAGTCTTCCTAGGTGAGAGCATTGGAATGTTCAGCTGTAATTTTCATAGGGATTAGGTGGCAGATGAATAACATACCCTGTGGTTCCATTTCAGTGCCCACTCAGGACTTTTCCCTATGGGAATATGCTGTGTTTTACTACAGCTCCTCAGGAAGGATGTCGAAGGCACCGGTAAACGCTGGAAGCAAACCTGCGTAACCAGAGTGGTGGAAGAGGTAACGTGCAGATAAAGACATCTTTTGCCTTCCTGCAATAGGAAAGAGCCATCAGGAGTTATTTCGTATTCCTAAGTGTCTTTTTAGGGGATTTAATGCACTCAGGCGCCCAGAGAGAGCAGCGTTGGTGTTGGGACGGGGATGAGGACTCCGGCAGGTGTCACCCGCATGTAGCACAACGGAGCCGCAGGAGGGATGCTCTCCGTGAGCCTGACCTCTAGAGGTTGCGCATGGAATCATCCAGGTTCGCATCAGAGTCAGGTCTTGTTGATGGTGCTGGACCCCGACCGCAAAGCGATCCAGCAGTGAACGGGGAGCAGCCATCACCATGGGATGCTCAGGTCCGCAGCCAGGACCCCATAGTGCCTGGATATTAAATCCCCATCGCACTTAGGGCTGTTGGGACGGATGGGAGATGATGAAAACTAAATCAAGGACGCTGAGCGCAGCCCACAGAGCTCCTACATAAACTGATCTTTGCAGCTTGAACTTCCTTGAGGTCATAAAGCCTTATTCCACAGTCCTTCCTCCTGGCACTACAGTATCCCTGTGTTAGGGTTTTTGTTACCTGGTCTTACATGAGTTGAGGTACTCTGTAATGCGTTACACAGAGGCTGGTCTGTTTCACCTGCTCGTTTATGGGAATTCATTTATTTACACGGAATAGTGCTCTCCCATAGCATAGCGTTAAAAATAAAGGCAGAAGGAATAGATTACTGCCTGTTTATTTTCCTTTTCCTTATTATTAGAAAGTAGGATTAGGGAAGAGCGGTGTGCCTGCTCCCTTGAAGAAAGGGTTCCAAATTTAGTCCTTGTTAAATGAGTTAAAAATACCCGTATTAAAAATTTATCCTTTATTATTTCACTTTACAGGTAACTGTCATTTTATTGCCGAGTGTCCCCTGATGAACTACGTGGCCTTTTTATACTCCTTGCATAAAAGCATGCTTCAGACTCGCTTCCCTCGTTCTTGCAAGGCAACCTATTGTTTTAAATGGGATCACTCATGCAAGGCAGATTAATTCACCTGCAGGAAGAAAGCCAGTGGTGGGTGCCTCATTTTCAGGAGTTCCCTGCAGAGCAGAATAGCACATCAAGTTCCTTAGAGTGCTTATGGCAAGCTCTGGAGGCATTTGCTTTGTTAGGGCAGGAATGGAAGTCGGTAACAAGGGAACATCTCCCATGCAAGCAGAGACAGCACTGACCCAACCCTTCTGCTTTGGTAGAGTAAGAGAAGAATAGTGTTGTTGTCTTTGTGCCATCTTAATCCTGCACCAAGCGGGAAGAGTTAATGGTTTGGATGGGTGGGAGGTTTTGCAGCACACATTTCCTCCCTTTGACCTGTCCTGCTGGCCAAAATGCAGGCTCTTGTTGGTTATCAGATGGGGGGAGGAGGAGGAGAACTGATGAAGGAAGGCATTTCTGGTGTATTTCTGTTTGCTTACAAGAATGCTCACAGCCCTTCTTTTCTGAACACAGAAGAAATCATGCAAGTGAGAGCCAGTTTCCTTACTTATAGCTCCAGACCTGCTCCAGGCAGCAGTGTGACCCCAAATCCCTCTGTTTTCTTGCATTCACTCCAGGTTTTATATCAATGATTGTTCAGGCTCTTTGAAGTTTCTGTGCCCTGGCTGTTTCAATGTGCTGTCTTTCTGTCTCCTCCTCCACCTGAACTGTATTGTTCAGCCACACATAACCTTCTTTCCTTTTAATATCCTACCCAAAACTGTCCTCCCAGAGCCTTCAGGTACTTGAGCAATTTTGCATTGTGGGTGAAAATAGACTTAATGTCTCCTTCAGCTACCCTAAATAAAGGCATGCAGTTCAACCTACTGATTGCAAGCAGGTTTAACCCAACCTATAAAACTAAAAGCCTAATGGAGTGTTGCCCTGAGGTTTTCAGCTTACTGAAGACCCCTCTAGAAAATGCTGTGAAGTTTATAAGTAATGGCATAGAAATAATAGGGACTACGTCAGTCAGAAACCCCGTGTGTTTGCAACAGACGTCAATGGGTACGAAAGAGGTTTCCTTTTTCCGGTAGCAGCCCTAACACATGACATTGGAGCTTTCAATCCACAGTTGTGGCCTGAAAAGTTAAGTAACACTTCATTAAAGTTGCTGAAAAGGAGAAGTAAAGGAGAAGGAAGAAGCGTAACACAACATCTCTCAGACTGTGAGGAGGCTGGGATCATCTGTTCTGTGGTGTGTGCCACCCCTTGGAAACTGAGGGTCTCACCTGGGCCTGGTGGTCAGTGATAACACAGTAATCATAGAACATCAGGTGGGAAGGGACCTCAAGGATCATAGAATCATAGAATCACAGAATGGTTTGGGTTGGAAAGGACCTTCAGATCATTCAGTTCCAACCCCCCTGTCATGGGCAGGGACACCTCACACTAAACCGTCCAGGCTCTGTCCAGTCTGGCCTTGAACACTGCCAGGGATGGAGCATTCACAACCTCCCTGGGCAACCCATCCCAGTGCCCCACCACCCTTACAGTAAAGAACTTCTTCCTTATATCCAACCTAAACTTCCCCTGTTTAAGTTTGAACCTGTTACCCCTTGTCCTATCACTACAGTCCCTAATGAAGAGTCCCTCCCCAGCATCCCTATACCCCCCCTTCAGATACTGGAAGGCTGCTCTGAGGTCTCCACGCAGCCTTCTCTTCTCCAGGCTGAAGAGCCCCAACTTTCTCAGCCTATCTTCATATGGATCATCTGGTCCAGCCTTTCTTAGCAAAGCATGATCTAGACGTGATGTCCTAGCACCCTGTCCAGCTGAATCCTAACAGAATCCAGTGTTGGGCAGTCCACAACTTCCCTGGGGAGATTATCCCAGTCTCTGTTCTCATTGGGAAATATTTTCCTCTTGAGTCCAATCAGAATCTCCCCAGCAGTAACTTGTGCCCATTGCCTCACATCTTTTCCATGTGATGCTTGTAAAAAGGAGCCTCTGCCTTCTTTGAAGCCACTCTATAATACTGCAGTATGTTGATAAGGTCTCCCCGAGCCTTCTTTTCACTAGGCTGAACAAGCCCAGCTCTGTCAGCCTTTCCTTGTGTGGCTTCCCAGTCCTTGGATAATCTTTGTGGCCCTTCTCTGACCCGCTCCACCCTGCCCACATCCTTTTTGCATAGCAGGAACCAAAACTGAACCAAGTATTCCAGGTGTGGCCTGACAAGTTCCAAGTAGAGTGGGCTGATGACTTCTCTATCTCTGCTGGTGATGCTCTTGTTGGTGAAACACAGCATCCTGTTGCCTTTCTTTGCTGCAGCTGCACACTGTTCACTCCTATTGAGCTTAATATGCAGACACAGTGCCTGTAGGTGTGTAAAGCAGCACAGAGTGGCCTTCAGGAAGGTCAAGAGATGAGGATTTACCCATCTGATCCTGTGCCCACTGATGACAAAGCACTCAGGAGCAAACCTACACAAGTGGACGGATAGGTTCTGAAGCATAGTTTGGCACAGGATGCTTCTTGGCTCCTAAACACTTATTTCAATCTGATGTCTTCCAGCCAGCTTAAGCTAAGTGGCTGCAGCCATCAACGAGAAAGAGGAATCATGGGCTACCAGTACTGCCAGAAGCTCAATGGTGAGATGCAGGTTTCATCAACCAGTCATTTGGAGAAAAGTTCTGGTCCCAGGTAGCTTGATCCAGTTATTGTTTGCTTGTACGAACAGTTGGATGTGGTGAGAGCAGGGCAGCTGCTCAGCAAAGGTCTCAGCCTCATTCATCTAACATTGTGCTTGTGGTAGAAACCAGATTCCTGAGTTGAACAGGCTGAGAAAGGGGGATGGAGTTTGGAATCTTTTCCATGGCCTTTGGAAAATGGTGAATTGCCTTGTGTAGATAATAACACCTCAAGATTGACCCAGCAAAAGCAGTTGAGAGAATTAACCTATGACTGTAAGCAAATTGCTTGCTCTGTATTATTACTGAGCCATTTTCCTTAGTCAACCTCAAAACACTTTACAAAGCAGATCACTTCCCAGTGATTAATAGTTTAGCATGTACACAGTTCTT